CTCAATTCTGTCAGATCTCTATAGCGATCTGTGTTAAAGTCTAGTCGTCTCCTTCTCACCATAGTCATGGATCGAAGAGAGCACCACCGGATTTAGTCACAGATGAAAAATAAATCTTTTCTGGAACAACAATGGTGAACTTTAGATTATTTGCACATATGGTCCTCCGGCTCTTGTTCCTTTTCCAATTTGTCCCAAGTTTCTATTTTTTTCTCAAATTCATCCACGAATTTGACCTGGAACTTTTAATTATGCAATCCAGACCAAAAAAATATTTCAATTTTACAATATTTGTTCCCTAGCGTTTTATTTCTACCAAATATATTCATGATATTCAAATAAATTCTTTTTATTTGGTCCATACTTCCAAAAGTTCATATATAAAGGCATCTTAAAAATGATTAAAATGAGGTAAATTTGATGATAACTATCATAAAATCATTTCTTGTGTATGTTATTTCTAATAATATTCGTATAAATGTCATATGTATATCACACTATGTACACATAATTTATTTATCCACGTGTACAATATTTCATGTGTACACTAGTGTATTTGGTAATGAGTCACATGTACACATTGGGAAAAAACAATCAAAACCATATATTGTATTTTGGGTCATAAACCATAAATCTTATTTTGTTACTTAACCATAAACTTATTTTATTTAGGAAAATGATTATTTTAGCTGAAATTAAAAAAAATGCTTAATTTAAGCTGAAATTGAAAAAAAAAAATTCAATGATAGACATGATATCTTCATTCCATTTGAAAATATTCATCAATATTATTTTAGTGTGATCCCTACGTACAATGTTTCTTGAATATATATATATATATATATATATATATATATATATATATATATGTACATATCATGGTGTACACAAACATTTATAAATTCAAATGTACAATGATGCATATGTACAAGATTTTACGATAATAACATGTACATTGGTACATGGATTTTGGATGCGTGGTTTACGTGAACAAATTGGTTTTCATGTTCGTGAATAATGCTAATTTTATTGATACTATAGGTGTTCGATATTGTTTTTTACATTAACTTTGTTATATGTGTGTACATGTGTACAATCGTTGTTGTGTATGTAATGTTTTTGGTGTACACATATACAAACTTTAATATTTTTGGTGTACATATATACAAAAGTATTTCAAACACTGAAGAATAAAATTCTTGATTTAATTGGTCCATCTACCAAGTATGCATACTTGATACCATTACCAAAAAAAAACTTATATGACATGGGCATATCTTTATCCATTTCATTACAAACATATGTTTTCTGATGTTTTATTATTCATATGTATTACCGAAATACAAACATCTATGTGTACATCATATAAAATAGTATCCATATAGATTTTAAGAAGTTAGTGTCCGTAAACATCAGCACCTTTTCATCTAACCCCCAAATGTTATTTTTGTTTTAATGTTGATACTCTTAACCATAACAAAACAAATACTTAACCATAACAAAAAAAATGTTTCTGTTTTTCTTTTCTATTTTTAAGGTTGATACTCTTAAGCATAACAAAACAAAAGTGTAGAAGTTTANATAGATTTTAAGAAGTTAGTGTCCGTAAACATCAGCACCTTTTCATCTAACCCCCAAATGTTATTTTTGTTTTAATGTTGATACTCTTAACCATAACAAAACAAATACTTAACCATAACAAAAAAAATGTTTCTGTTTTTCTTTTCTATTTTTAAGGTTGATACTCTTAAGCATAACAAAACAAAAGTGTAGAAGTTTAAAAGAAAATATAACAGATTTCTTCATAAATAAAAGTATTGGGTCAAAAATAAATTAAACAAAAGATGAGGGACCAAAATTTTAAAAATGCGAAAGTTCACCATTGTTGTCGTCGAGCTTTTTAGAGCTGGTGGCTGTGACAAAAAGGGCACGGTGATGACAACTCTGAAGCTTCTGTATATGTGCCAAAACTTTAAATCTTGTCTTAGAGTTCAAAGCAGAGATGTATTTATTGAAAGATAGAGTTTTTGTACATCATGATTATACCACCATCAGAGAAATAGCTTAACATATCTCAAATGATAGATTACTTAATAAATATATTGATTATAAACATATTTTTTGAAAATTCTGTTCTGGAAAACCAATATTCATTTTACAAAAAGAACAAAAAAACTCAGGAGAAAGAAACGAAGAAGAAGATATATGGGACCTACTGTTTTGTGTTGAGGAGAAATAAAGATTTTTATATTTATTTAGTTAGATTAAAACAGAAAAAATATGTTTAGTTAAAAAAAACTACCTCAATAGTGAAAACTGTCATATTATGTTAATAAAAACTTAAAACTGTCTTTGGGTGTAATATTTTCTTATTCCTATCTATTTGGGTCAGATGCTCGACCCCTCCGAAAGAATAGTGTTCGATTAATGCGAATGGTTGGCGAGCTTAATTACACTACACCCTTATGTGGTGTAGACTGTAGAGTAGTATTTTGTAGTATTATCTAAGTATCTAACGATATGGTTTATAGATTTTTGTGTTTATCAATACTATTAAAACTGAAGCACATTTTATCTACTTCCAACTAGTCTATCTCAAAACATTACATTTATTTAATTTTATATTATGTAACATATAACTAACTTAGTTATTATTAAATAACAACATAATAATAATATAATATTTAAATGTATTCAAAATAAGATATCAAAAAGATACTCTTAACTACTTTTTCATATTACATTTTAACAATATCTTTAATATATTTTTATTTTAAAAATAAATATTTATTGTTTTAATATTATTTTAATAATAAAAACATAAATAATATTAAATTAAATTATAAATGAGTATTAAATCATTTTCATTTATATAATAAGAACTAACTTTCTATAACATTTATATATAAATATTTCATATTTGTAACTAAAAATTACACAAAATAATAATTATAATATAAATTAATCAACTTTATAAATTATAAACTAGATGAATTATATTTAAAAAATAACAAAATACTACCACAATATATTAAAAATGAAATAATTTTATATTTTAATATACATATCTAAATTAAAACATTAGGATATAAAAAAATTAACATTTAATTATATGTAACTAATACACAAAACAATAATAAACAATTTTTTTCAAACCTCCACCAATACATAATAATATAATAATCATAGATTAAGTCTTAAAATCGTATATATATATATATATAATTTTTTATAAAATAAATATTAATAATAGCTACTGTTAATATTTAATTATATGATAAAACATGTTATTACTGATATTTTTATGATTATAATTTTACGGGTTATTCTAATAAACACACAAAATCTTTATCAAATATAAAATTAATTTAACAAAATATAAAATATAATATTAGTTATGCTTGGGAGTTCAAGTACCTATTGGGATATGAGTCGAATTTTGAATCAATGCTAATTTATATCACATCATAGGTGTCATAATATGTAAGCAGACATGTTTATAAGTATAGATCAGATTCAAATATAACAGGTCGGGTTTGGTTCTAATATGTACACGTCCTAAAACTGATAAAGTAACCATATATCGTTTGGATTTGGGTTATATTTGTTTGGCAATCTAAAATCTAAAACCAAAACAAAAGAAAGATACTTATTTTTATAGAATTGGATATTAAAGTACTTAGTTAAAATTTAGATAATTAATTTTAAATATCATTTTAAAATAAATATAGAACTGAATATTTAAACTAGATATTTATGTTTCAAATATTTATATTTATGATTAATTTGGATATTAAGATCGATTCAGTTTTTTTCCAGATTTTTTGGTTTCTTGGTTATTCGTTCGGTTCTGTCTAATAACACTTTGATTTGAATATTTTTGTACCACCCTACAAAACTCATTCTGATATATTTTAGATTTTTGACCGGTTACGGATCCAATTTTTTTTTTTAGATTGAGTTTAAACGTCGAGTTATGGAATTTATGCACATGTCTACTTTATATAAAACAAAAATGCGGTCAAATAAAATTTTCACCAAAAGATTATCCTGCATTTTTAAAAGACTATGTTTGATGCAATTAAAGAACTAAACAAGTTTATTCCACATTTCTATATGTATAGGAAATGCGACTATATAAAATTTGCATCAAACATAAATCCGCGCTTTGAAAGCGCGGATCAAAATCTAGTATCAGATTAAAATCACAATCGATATTCAGTTATCTTAAAATATGTGTATGTATCCTTAGAGTTTGCATATTTGAATATATGCGGATGATAACTTTGTCCTTCGATGAATACATATAGTATGCTTTAATGTAAATTCAGTATGTGGTCAAAAAGCTATGTTGTGTCTATAAATGAACCTTACAAAAGAAATTAGAAGAAAGAAAGATCGAGAAGGCAATGATCAACAACTTAAAATAAAATACATATGTTGTTAATCAAAAAGGGCTTGATATGAATAGGATAGTTCTAATCATATATTATCATCATACTTGGCTACTATGTCACAACCGTCGCTTTGGCCGAGTGGTTAAGGCGTGTGCCTGCTAAGTACATGGGGTTTCCCCGCGAGAGTTCGAATCTCTCAGGCGACGCTTCTATTATTATTATTTTTTTTTTTCGTAAGCCTCAAGTTTGTTGCCTGATTGCGTCTCACTTACCAAATAACTGATAAACCCTGACATGTCATTCTTGCTTTAGTTTTCTGAGATTTTACTGTTAACAAAACATAAAATTTTGTTTATCTGCTTCACTAACAGTAGCAGAGATCTATGGGAATGAGAAGTTCATGCCTTATGTGGCATTAAAGAAGGTATGCGTTAACCAAGTTATACACAAGATCAACGACCCTCCTAGACTTCAATGAGAAAGCCTTGTAGTTTCAAACCGCAGTGAGCTACTCATTGCCAATGCTGGAACTCAGGACGTGGATACACAAGCTCTTAGAGAGCCACCATTCAGAGTGTTTGTGAGCGATCGATCCACAGCACGGAAAAATATACAAATATTATCAAACAACTAATTCATTCTCATCTCAATAAAACCAAGTCATGATTCATCATGAAGCAAAATCATACAAATCAGCGAAAGCTCTCAAATAGAGCTTACAGAAAACCACATAGAGAAAAAAACAAATAAAACTAAAAGCTGCAGATTAACAGACTCATGATGGCACAAACTCAAACACAAACCCAATTTTACCAACACCAAAGAATCTGTTTCCCAATTCCAAAGCCATTGAAACAACAATCTACGAGGCAGTCTCATTAAAAAACAGATTCTTTCCACGCACCTAGATTCAAGAAAAAATCCTCTGCAAGCCCCATGCTGCAGTCAGCGGTTAGTCAGAGTAGAGCATGTCTTCTTCTCTTGCTACTGTGGAATATGGTTTTGCAACTAAACTCGGATATATTCTTTTTCAACTTTCTTTTCCTTTGGAATGCAACCGGCTGTAGAACTCAGTGAAGTCAAGCCGGAAGAAGAGGAATTTGAGATCTACAGATTGTTGGAGTGGCAAAAGAGACAGGAATGCATCTAGTGAGGTTGTGTACTCCTTTGCAATACTGTCCATGTCTTGACTCATGCTTTGAAGAAACTCTCCAGCACGCTGTGTTATGGCCTTCCTACCCTCACTGATCCATGAACTTGACTCTTGCGTTTTGTTCCTTTCTCGCCCTGATTCTTTAGTTCTGCAGGCAGTAAGTGATATTGATCAAATTCTAACACCCTTAATAAAGAGGAATATATTCGAGTAATGGGTTTAAGTATACTCAATAGATTTAAGACGAAAGTACCTTATTTGCAGCTCGTAGATTCCTTCATACAAACGATCTGCATGACTCCTGAACCGTAATATAAGCTCAAAAAGGACAAACAGAGATTTGCTGATGGTCTGCGACTGTTCACCCAGAAGAGATTTTCCAACGATGGAGTTGAGGTACTTCTCATGAGCTGCCAAAAGATCATCGAGGTCTTTAGCAGCTTCCATTTCTTTTGAGAAATTACACCATGACACCTCCAACACCTCAAACATGATGTAATACTGAAAGTTGGTAACAAAATGGTTCATTTCATTCCAAAGAACCTGGCACCTCCTCAGGGCTGAGAGCAGTTGCATCTTCACTGAACTTTGGAGCTTGACGAATGAATTGGAAGTGATGCAATTTGGTTTCATGGTCTTCCAAATTCCGATAAGAGCATGCTCTACCCTTTTCAACTTCCAGAGAAAATTGAACACTCTCAAGTATTTCGACAAAACAGACTCAGTGAACACAGTATCTAATGGAACCCTGGGCTCATATTCCAATGAGAATACATCCCAGCCTCTGTCTCCACTGCCATGAGGCATCATTTTCACCCTCAATCTGTCTAGCATGTCACGGTCATCATACTGCGCATTAGACGCCCTAATTGCAGCTTCAAGAAACCCAGCAAGCTCAAATGAACTAATATTATTAGCTGGCTCAGAAAGTTTGGGTCCTACAATATCCATCAAGTACTGGACAAAATCACCTTGACCAAGTAGTAAATAACGCTTAATCGCTAGACAATGCTCCTTAAACTTATACCTCTTATACAGCACATCCAACAGATGCTTGTCGATTCTCTTTGCTGCCTCGGTGACAAGATGCTCAAGCGCATCCGTCTCCCCATACCCGAGACCTCCTCTCCTGGTCGTCGTCCCAGAGGCAGCAGCTGCTTCTGAAGCAGCATCAGCCCAACCGTGATCATCGCAGCAAACACGAAGAAAGTTTATAGACTTCCCAGTTCTCAGAATCCTCTGAGCTAAACTCGGCGAAATAAAAGACGGAAGCATCCCCGGGTGAAGCTTATAACCTTCTCTCCAAAGCAAATCTACTTTAACCGGCTGACCAACAACAAAGAACTCACCAAAAGTATCCTCCAACTCCCCTTCAAGAACCCAACTCCTCACCATCTCGAACAACGGAGAACACACACACCTAAGCAAACTCATCATAAACCCATGAACAAGCGGGTCACCATGCTGCGCATGCAAATGAATAGCCCCAGCCATCGCCCCACCTCTCAACACCTTACACTTATCAACCAAAACCGCCATCAGCCTCATCTTCACCATAGGCTCCGCGAACCAAACCAACAACCTCCTCAACGAAAGGTAATTACTCTCACTAACCGACTCAGAAACCAAAGGGATAGGATTCATCGCCTGAGCTTCCAACACAGCCAACAACTTATAATAATCAGACAACTCATCCTGCAACGCCGCGCAAAACGCTTGCCCCACAGTTCCCACATCTTCCCCTGGAAACCTATCCATACTCTCGGAGATGAAACACTTAACTTTCCTAAACAACCAGCCAAGCTCAGAGAGCATACGAACCATAGTCTTGGTAGCACGTGGCACCTTAACGTAATCCACAACGGCGTAACCGTCAATCTCACTGTTGAACTTAACAAACTTCCCATCAATCCCTTGACAAGCGTACAACACATCCCTAACTAAAACCTCCTCAGTAACCTCACTCTCTTCCTTAACCAAACTAACAAACTCTCTAAACGCAACGTCCCTCAGATTCTCAGGATCTTTACTAACTAACAGAACTCCTCCATTATTACTCCAATCCTTCTTCTTCCCACGACCTAAAACGGCGTCGTCGAGATTCAAATTAGGTAACAGGAGAAGCGAGGAATCGAGGCCGTTAGCGGCGGATTGGCGATCCTCGGAGACGATTTTGAGGAGGTGGAGGAGGGACCATTTGTTGTTGACGCTGCCGGGGCCGGTCTTGGAGGAGAACTTGGTGTAGAGATCGGCGAAGGAGAGGGCGTCGGAGGATTTGCCTTGGGTGGCGAGGCGGCGAGTGAGGGACTCGGCGATGGCGGCGGAGTCGGGGGAGACGGAGGGGGTGAGGCGGCTGCGGAGGATGCGGTGGGCGTAGCGGAGGGTTTTGAGGAAGGTAGGGGAGTTGGGATCGGGGTGGGTGTTTGGGGTTTTAGGGTTTTGGGAGAGGAGACGGAGGACGAGCTCGTGGACTAGATCTGTTGCTTTCTGCTGATCGTCTTCTTCCATTTTTTGTGATTTTTCTTCTTTTTTTTTTCTTTTTTGGTTTTTGATTTTTTTGAGTTTTGAATCGAAAGTGTGTTTGTTGCAGAGTGGAAGTGATGAGAGTAGGAGGAATGATGGGCTTTTCTGGACTTTTTGCTCCAGGCGGGCGATTGAAAATGTTTGCAATCCAAAAAAATTGGGGGAGATAAAAATAAATTATATATTTATGTTCTAAACTAAAATTAAAGTTTAATAAAATATAAAAAAACAGTGACATTGAATTCAATTGATGGTTAGTCGTAGTTTTTATATGAATTGTTGATTAGACCTAGGGATGGGCACAATTACTTGTTACTCGGCTTGTATTCGATACTTGATTCGTACTTGGCTTTTAAAATCGAATATTCATTTTGTCCAAATCGAGTATTAAGTCGTTTTGTTTCAATTACTTGCAAGTACAAGACAAGTACCAAGTACTAAAATAAAAATAACTACTTGACGTTGTTGGCTTGTTACTCGTGATTTATTACTTGATTCATTACCCGTTTTTTTTATTTTTAGACAAACAAATCTCTAAATTATAATCAAATTACTTGTTTATAAAACAAATAAATTAAAAGTGATATATTATAGAAATATTTTAAAGTTTTCTTATAGTTTTATATTTATCATATATCGATTTAAAAACATATGAAAAGTAAATAGATATTCTTTATTAAAAATTGTTTAGATTATAATTATAACTAACTAAATGTTTTTAAATTCATATACAAGATTTAAGTAGCAAACGTTAACGAACTTTTATTAAATAATTTATAAATAATTATATAATCATTTATAAATTAGTTGAGATGCAACAAGTAGTAAAACAGAGCAAGTACTTGCAAGTATACCATTTTTTAGCAAGTACTTGAAAGTGCAATTATTCGTTTTTAATAAACCAAGTACAAGTCCAAAATTTTATTACTCGAACAAGCCAATCCAAGTACCAAGTAAGCCAAAAATGGCAAGTACTTGGCTTGTGCCCACCCCTAATTAAACCTGTGTTTAAATAGATTTGAAGGGTTTACACCAGTTTTTTTTGGTTAGGCAAACACATAGACACAATATAAATTAACAGGTGGATAAGGTTGTTTAGTTTGCATTTCATAATCTGTAATAATAAATCGATAAGTCTAATTTTCCGAGACGAACACATGGAAAGATTGGCAAGTGCTTTAAAAATGTTGTACAGTCTTTCTATAGTCCAAAATATTTATAAAGTAAAAATATTTTTCAATCATATTTTGTAAAGAATTTTCAAAACTATAAATTTTTACTTTTTTTTCTTTGCTTTTGACTCTAGAAAATAATAAGCATAGACCACTTATTTTTCGCTTTGGAAAATTTATATTAGTCATTAAATCATTTTAACTTTACAATCAAAAAGTTTACAACAAATTATTCATAGTCACAACAAAAAATCTACGGTTTTAATTCTATAGTAAAAGATATAAAGCTATAGTTCTTTCTAATCAATCTTATAAACACAATCTAACCCGATTTTTAGAAAGTTTGAACCAATTTCTTTTTTTATAGTATTAGATAGATGTCACTGTTTACAAAATTAAATAAAGAGAATAAATCGGGTAGACCTGTTATCTTCATGAATCAAGAGGAAAATAAAGGAAACATATTTCTACTTTATTCCGTTAAGAGTTAAAAGAAACAATGGAAGTTTTAGCTAGTTTTATTATGTATTAGGGTTAAGTCCATCTTACGAGCAGATGAACAAATTAAAAATCACAAAATTATATTTTAAATTAATTATATTTAAAAAAATTATTGGTGACTGAAAATAATTAACTATCAATATTTGTTTTTGTTGTTCTTGTTAGAAAGCACATGCTTGTAAATTTTTTAATTAAGGTAATTATTATTTTTTGTTATTTTTTTATTATAAAAATAAAGAAAATATTCATAAACTATTTAAATCCAATACATAAATCATTTATTTTCTCTATTTTATACATTTATTTTTAGATTTTTAGTTATTTATCTTTTTTTTTGTTCTAATAGTTGACCTATGATTTGCATGAATTTGTTTTCAATTAGATATTTTGTTTAACACTTGTTTTTATTTTGAAATAGTTTAATATCATTATATATGAATTATTTTATTTAATTACTAATTGTATATGTTTCTATTAAAATTTTTTAATGCTTTGATATTCGGTTTTACTCTCGTTGCAAAAAATTAATTTCATAATAAAATTATTGATATAGTTTAGTGAGACTAAAACTATTTTTATTTTGGAACTATAGGTTCTTTGGTGCATTTGTGTTATTTTAGATTATATAGTTTGGTTTCTATGGTTATTTTTATCTTATTTTATATAGCGTCTCTTTTGTGTGTTTACAGATAGTATGTTTTTAATTTTCATGTCATATTTAATTTTTTCTTGAAGATTTTAGGGAATTCATAACATATGATTTTTTTTTAACATTTATTTATATATACAATAATCTTTGATCTTTTGTTATCATAAGAAATTTTTTATTGCTTGTTCATTATTGTTTTATCTGCTATATATTATTTTGTGTTTTTCACTAATTCTTATTGAAGTCTTCATTTTAATTATGTATTGTTTTTGGCTATAGGTTTTCATTAATCTTTTGTTAACAATTAGTATCAAGTTTTATTTCAATGTGTTTGTTAGCTGCTAATTTCCTTAAAATAAAAGTTAGTAATAAACACACAATGCCTAATACTTATAAGTATGACTTAACTCCGGTAATATCATACTTATACTTCAGACCAGATTAGGAATCTGAAAAGTTCAGTAGTATGAGTCTAAGAAATGTTGTTTTCTTAACTAAAAAGGTTCTATTATTGAACCGAATGGAGAAAGTGGCATCCAACATCCGAAAACTGGGTTTGATGCGCATTACATCGAACCCGCTCAACCTGTAGACTGACCATTCATCGAGACGTTGCCTAAACATGAATTGGCGGTTCGCATTAACAGAACCTTAAATAGCCGTCGATTGTTAGAAATGACAAATTATTTCTTTTAAGACAATCATAATGGAACCAATTAGGGGTGGGGATTCGGGTACCCGTTTGGGTATGGGTCGGGTATTCGGATTTTCAGATATTTCAGTATTGGGGTGTAGCACCCGTTCGGGTATTTTTACATATCGGGTTGGATTCGGATATTTTAAGTACGGGTTCGGTTATTTCGGTCGGGTTTCAGATATTTAGATTTTGAAAAAAAGTTCAAAGTTCTTCCTAGCTTAAGTTTTATGTACTTAAAATTTAAATATTAACTTAACTGTTTTTAAATGCTTGATAAGTTAACGACTACTAAATTTTAAAATAAATTATTAAAAATAGAAAATCATTAATTTGATTGTTATTTTCAAATTTTCGATGCAACTTTTGTTAAACACATGAAATAAAAAGCTTAACATGCATTTTAAATAAAGAGCAAATCATTTTTGTAAGTTATACGTATATTATGTGATCTTAATCTATATACAACACTAATATAAATATTTTGAATAAAATGAGATAAATAAACTAAGAATAAAACATACATATATATACACATATGTTTGGTTATCTTCAGATATCCATTCGGATTCAGATATTGCCCGTTTGGGTTCGGATATCCAAACTCTCCTAACTCAATACCCATTCGGGTATTTTGCTATTTCGATTCGGATTTCGGTTCAGATATTTCGGGTCGGGTTCGGGTATGAGTTCGGGTATCGGGTAAAGTGTCCACCCTAAGAACCAATCGTCAACATCGTTAATCGGAAAGGAGATGCTTACATTCTCATCGATGAGGAGTATGTCTAGATTCATGATCTCATCGCCTTTCCTCACATTCCTGGCCTTCGAAAACCTCAGCAAGTGAACCTTGGTGGTGTTGGAACATCATTCGACTTTCAAATCGGTAAGAAGGATAGAATAAATCACATTGTAGCAATCAGAAAGTTGAATGAATTTTTCTTCTAATGCTCGTCGAATATGTGATGTTCATGTCTGCAAAAGGGATATATATACACTCACACCTCTACATGATTATTTTCGAGATGCGATAAGGTGATTTCAATGATCCAGAATGGATTAATCACTTATAAAATAGGAAGGAAGAATGTGTGAATTAAGTATGCGTCGAGATGGTACGAAGAATTGATAATTTATTTCGATATCTACAACACTTGTCGGCTGATCTAAGGATCTTAAACGAAGATGACGAACAAACCTATAATATTAAAGGATCTCTATAATCCGAAAACTTAAACGCTATCTACAACAATAAAATCCCAAAATAAATATGTATTATACCAATTATAAATTTTTTTCTAAAATAAATATATTTTCTAAAGTCAAACAAATAATTTCTCAAACTTTAAAGATGTGACACATGATATTTTTTGTCCCTATGAAGAAAAAAAACTAATAAGATGTGACAAAACATTATCTCCAAGGATGATTTTCTACTTTACATTAGATAATTTCCCTATATTATTATCTTTGTTGCTAAACTCTGATTGGATACCATAAATACATTTAGATTTTCTTAAATATCTAAGCATAGGTGCATTAATACTTAATGCCTTGCCCCCACAGTTTAGAAGTGATGCCTATATATACACAATTTACTTAAATACTGAGAGAAAAAAACATGTATGTATAAATATCTTCTTCTCTATCTCTCCAAGCACCTTTAGGCTTTATAATGTTTCTTTGCTTGTTTTCTTTTTTTATGATTACGAGGTTTGTTTAAGATTAAGCTAATAACAATAATAATCGCTTCAACGGCAAGCAGCGACGAGTGATGCTTGAAAAGTTAAACCCTCTTTAATCGCAATCAACCAACTGATTACTGATAATGATATACTTCTCTTAAGTGCCGCCTCTTCTACGTAATCACTTATTCACTCTCTCTCTCTCACTCACTCGTAATCCTCTCTCCTCTCTCTCCTCTCTTTTGCATGCGATTCGGCTTTTAGCGGCGGAGGCGGCGATGAAGCTACATTGATTCACTCTCTCGAGATTTAGGTAACCATTTTTAATTACTAGATTTTTTATTCTGTCTCTTGTTTGTTGGAGTTTTCTGTAGTTGGCCGTTTGTTTGTTTTATCTGTGAACAAAAAAACTCAACCTAACCCACATTTTTTTTTTTTTTTATCTCCAAGTGTTCTCAGCTCTTACGTTGTGGCAATTTCGTAATTCTCACTCGTCTTCCTGCGATTGTGAGTCTCTGATTCGCTTACCAATTAATCATCTCCTTGTTTTTTGTATTTGGTTGTGTTTCCTTAAAGCTTGCTTGCTTGTGTGTTCCTGGAGAGAGCTTGAGTTGAGTGATAATAATCCCCTGTAACTCGCCAGTTTAAACGCTGTCGTTTTGATTTTGCTACTCCTATCATCGTCTCTTCACTTGGCTAAAGAGATTCTTGTAAGAAAGAGTTTTGAGACAACTTTTATCACCTCCTGAGCCTTAAGTTTGCAAAAAAAAAAAAAAAAAAAATTTGTATACAATTTGGAGTCTTTTTTTTTTTTGAATGAAACAATTTGGAGTCTTTAGCTAATCATAAACTCAAGCATCATTCTTGTCTGTCTGTTACTTGTGTATATCTTAAAGAGGAGTAATGCTTTTGTTTATTGATAAAGTTGCATTTTTTTTTTCAGTTGAATTTTGGTTTCTGATGGCGCCCAGACAAGTACCAAAATCAAGAAAACCCGGTTTTAGCAAGCTAAAGACTTCTAACTCCCCTGCTTCTTCAACAGCCTCGTCTCCAATACTTTATCCAGAGACATCTCTGGATAGCCATAGCTCTCCTACTCCTTCCTCTGTTCGAAGCAAGCCTCACTATACAGGAAGGGTACCGCAAAATGCTTACCAGTCCAAAGAGAACGTCACGGTGACTGTTCGTTTCCGTCCACTCAGGTGAGAGTATAGCGATTCAGAAAACGTTGAGTTGATGGTTTGTTCTGTGAAGTGAATTTGACTTTGGTTTAATGCTTTGATGTATAGTCCAAGGGAGATTCGTCGTGGGGAGGAGATTGCATGGTATGCTGATGGGGAAACTATTGTGCGGAATGAGCATAATCAGTCCATCGCTTACGCCTATGGTTAGTTAGTCTTGTTTAGTGTTTGACTAGTGTCACGAGTTTCTGCTAAGCTTAAGAAATTATATACGGAGAGCATTGCATTGTTGATTGAAGGGCTAAATTAAACTAAGATGTCTGATTCCGTTCTGAAGTTCTGCTTTTATTGCAGATCGTGTTTTTGGACCTACAACAACAACTCGCCAGGTCTATGATGTTTCTGCTCAGCATGTTGTTAATGGTGCTATGGAGGGGACCAATGGTATGGAGTAAATACTTCTTAAATTTTGTTGTTGGAATAAGAGAGTAAACATATTTTATTGGTCGATCGAGTTTTACCCGAGCACAACATCACGAACAGTTTGCATGACTATTTCACTTGGAAGTTAGAACATGAGATCTTTGACTTGACAGAAAGTATCCAGTGCTTGTTTTGAGTTAGACTTGTTTGCCAATCACAGGGACAATCTTTGCCTACGGAGTGACAAGCAGTGGAAAAACTCACACTATGCATGTAAGATTCACTAATCATAAAACCAAAACCAAAAAGATTCGTTGATTATGATATTTATTGTTTCATATTCCTCTTCCTTCGTCTCTGGCTAAATCACTTAGCTGCAGACAAAACTATTATATATTAATAATTCATGTCAACAGGAACTTACATAATAGACAAAGTGAATAGTATCAGGAGCAAAGTTTCTCTTCTGTAGTGGCCAAACGATTGGCAACTGAATTTGATGTTTAAATATGTTTGTATGGGATATTTGATTACTCTCCTTCTAGCTAGGGTTTCTCTGTTGACCATATAAAACTTTCATTTACGTCTAGTAGTTAGCATATTGTGGGTGTGATAGAAATTTTCTTCTATCAAACCCATGATCAATACATGCTCCTGCCGTCCTGCGCTAATTCCAAATGATTTTACACATTTCGTTCAAGAGACCATGTTTACGAGTGACTTCAAAGATGTGAATGACATAAGAACAGTTTAGTCTCATGAAGACAGTTTTGTCTGGTTCAAATTTCAGGGTGATCAAAGATCTCCTGGTATTATCCCGTTAGCCGTGAAAGACGCTTTCGACATTATACAAGAGGTACTTCGTGGGATGTTGATTAGTCTAATTCTCTGGCTTAAGTGCTAGCTACGTCATACATTTATTTATTTTTTGCAGACACCAAGGCGAGAATTTCTCCTACGTGTTTCATACTTAGAAATTTATAATGAGGTGCTACTCACTACTTGTTTTTTTTTCTTCATTCCCTATCGTCTTTGATTTTTCTTAATATGCTTAAGGTTCATTTTACTTCAGGTTGTCAATGATTTACTGAACCCGGTAGGACAAAATTTGAGGATCAGAGAAGATGAGCAGGTGCTTTGTTTCAGTTTTGTATAATCTTATTTACTTTTGTGTTGGTAACATTCATAATTGTTGATTTTATTGTCTCATTTCATCTTCTTTTGTGACTATAGTGTACATCATAGAATCCCAAACCTTGCTACCATATATATATTTTAATTAGAGGAGGCATCTTTTCTCTGGTAGATGCTTGAAAGTACTTGCTTCATTTTCTTATAAAATGGAACTCTTTGAGATCCTGCAAATACAATTGTGAAAAATGGCCCGTATCAATATTTGAATGTACTGGGTCGCATTTCTTATTCAAGTATACTAGATCTGAAGTTGCTGCTGTTAGCTTTTGTATGGTCTAAGAAGCTTAGAATAAACTTGACTACTTTTGCACTGAACATCTCTTTATTGCCGATTATAGGGAGCTTTTATTGAGGGAATTAAAGAAGAAGTTGTGCTATCCCCTGCTCATGCGCTTTCTCTTATAGCAGCTGGAGAAGGTAGGCGCTTCCATGTTTCTCTTTAGTTGAAAAGGCTTACTCTAGAACCTAACGATCCCAGCAGAATTGACCCAGTCATTGTAAATTTTCTTTCGATTCCTTCGTCAGAAAAAGTGTTTTCCTCTTATGTGATGTGATATAACAATTCAGAAAAGACTAGCTTTCTCTTTCTTGATTCTCAATTCTTGTAAAACTAGTACTTTTCTTGTCAGTCATCTTAATAAAATTTCCGTTTGATGACAGAGCACCGACATATTGGATCCACAAATTTTAATTTGCTCAGTAGCCGAAGCCATACAATGTTTACCCTGGTATGTTTATTTTTTCTTTTCCAAAGCAGGGAAAGAATTATTTCTTTGTGAACTTGCTATATCTAAACATTGTCATCCAAGCATCTTTGGCATTGCCCCTATTTGGCTATAGAAGCTCAAATTTCAAACTTTGTACTGTAGTGTGTTGATCAAAGTTCAGTCTTGATGTATCATTATCTTTATTTATCTATTCTCCTCAGATATATAACTTTTGATGACCAATCCCTAAACACATACTTGATTCTTTATCATTGATTCATTGGCATTTCGAATGCTTATAGCCCTGACCTTTAACTTATATTTAAAATTCATGGTTGTCGCTAAATGGTTAGGTTTTATAAAATCAACGCTGTAGTTTCTTATCTATATATCTTTTGTTGTTTAAGACGGGAAATAAGAACAAATTTTTCTTTCTTTCATATCTACCACTAAAGCTATACCGTTTTTGACAGACCATAGAGAGTAGTCCCTTGGGTGGCAATAATGAAGGTGAAGCTGTACACCTCTCGCAGCTGGTATATAACTTTTTCGTTATCCGTGATTTATTCTTCAGTTATATCTTACCTTTTCCTCAACTTCAACTCTGGAGCAAATCAACTGTTTATTATTGCACTATGTGAACAATTAAAGGTGAACAATTGATTAACTGCTCATAATTTCACTTATATCTGCAGAACCTCATTGATCTGGCAGGTTCCGAGAGCTCAAAGGCTGGAACCAGTGGTCTAAGGCGCAAGGAAGGATCTTATATTAATAAAAGTTTACTGACTTTAGGGACGGTGAGTTCTTGGTTATCACTGTTATAGCCAAGCAGCATCAGTTTATCGATCTTAATTTAATTCAAGAACTTCTGTGATATAGATTGTTTTTGCTTTTCCTCTTTTTCAGCTGAAAACCTTTGTTGCTGTTGCCTTTCAATCATATTGTTAAATAATATGCCTTACACTGAAGTGAATGTTTCTTTTGTAACCTTGTAGGTAATATCAAAGCTTACAGATAGGAAGGCTAGTCATGTACCATTTAGGGACTCTAAATTAACCAGGCTGCTTCAGTCCTCGTTGAGTGGTCATGGACGTGTATCTGTAAGTGTTGCTAGAGATCTCTTTTAGCTTCTTATTGGAAGAAATGCCACGAACAGTATGACCGTAAGCAGTAGAAAACGATTCCTTTAATCGACTTAACTAATCGATTGATTCATCTCGATATGGTAGCTAATATGTACAGTGACTCCTGCATCAAGCTGCACCGAAGAAACACACAACACACTGAAATTTGCCCATCGTGCAAAGCATATCGAAATTCAAGCTGCACAGAACAAGGTCATAGTTACATCTATTCTCTCAAATGCATTTCTACACTGAAGGTGCTTCCTTTATTTCTAACCTAATAAAAATACAGATAATCGATGAGAAATCATTAATCAAGAAGTACCAAAACGAGATTCGCCAACTTAAGGAGGAGCTTAGAAAAAAAACAGTTTCTCAGGTAAAGGACATTAGTGAAAATGATATTGTTCTTCTGTCATTTATCCCCAAAGTATTGTGCTTCAGTTTTGGATAATTGAAATCTGCTTTGCTTGATTTTCCTTCGACGTGACTATAAAAGATAGAAGAGGAAGATTCTAAAGCAGCTCTCTTGAGTCGAATCCAACGGCTGACAAAATTAATTCTCGTGTCTGGTAAAACTCCACAAACACCACGGGTTTCTCATCGCGTTGTTCTTCGGAGGAGACACTCATTTGGACAAGAGGAGGTGAAGTTAATCACTTGCAGCTCTTTTAACAGCATGTCTGCCGTTTACTATTTTTTAGCTGATGTTTGATGATAATGCATGGCCAGCTTGCTTACCTACCATACAAGAGGCGGGATTTGATGGATGAAGGAAACCTTGAATTATATGTTTCGGGGGAAGCTAATCCTGAGATTATAGATGATGTATTTAGAGAAGAAAAAAAGACCAGGAAGCATGGACTACTTAAATGGTTGAAACTTAAGGTACACATCGGATTCTAGAATTTATATGGCTTTGATAAACATTAGTGTTGTCTATTCTTGTTTAATCTAGAGCAATTCCCTCAATATCAGAACCGTATACTATAGTTAGTACTGTTGCCAACAGTTTCTTGCACACATATATCTGGCACTCGTATGTGATTTATTATTCTTCTCGTGTGCATGAGATATCACGGAAGCATTCTTGCCACATGGTCTCTCATTACTGTTTTATTATCAGAAAAAGGACAACAGTGTGGGGGAATCAAGCATCAGCGACAAGTCGAGTGCGGTCAAGTCTAACAGTACACTGTCAAATCCTCAAGGGGAAGGCAGTAATTTTCATACAGAATCAAAACTTTCAGAAAGCTCACCATCGGCGGATCAACGTTTAGAGCCTGGAGAAGATATAGAATCCCTTGAAGGCAGTTTTCATGAGATAGAGTCACCTGAGGTGCACTAATATTTTCTCACAGCTGATACAAAATTTCATTTACATCAATTGGCTTCTTGAGCTTTCTTTAGTACAAGTGGTGCAAAATCTTAAGACAATGTGTACTTATTCCCAGGGTAGAAGACACACAATCGACCAGATGGATATGCTGAGGGAACAACAAAAGATTTTATCCGAGGAGATGGCGCTACAATCAAAGTCTTTTAAACAGTTGTCGGAAGAGGCTACCAAAGCCCCTCAAAATGAAGAAATTAAAGTAATATTTTGCATTCTGTTCATGATCTTTTCTATCAAATATGCTCATTATTTACCTTCCTGGTTGTCTTTGTATTTATGCAGGCGGAGATTATAAACCTCAACGATGATATCAAGGCAAAGAACGACCAGATTGCTGAGTTGGGGAAACAAATTTTGGATTTTGTAATGACATCACATGATGCACTGGATAAGTCTGATATTGTGCAGGTAGGTCGATTATCCTTTTCTAATATCATACACTGGCCTTGAGTTTCTTTGTTCTGGCATTCTCAAGTTCGTTCTCTAATATCTGCAGGCTGTTTCTGAAATGAGGGCTCAGCTAAATGAGAAGAGTTTTGAACTAGAGGTCCTGAAACCTCTCTCTGTTTACACATTATTATTTGATACTGAAACTAAGATGGCTTTGCTATAACCTGCTTAATACTTTTTCATTTTGTGTATAGGTTAAAGCTGCAGATAATCGTATCATTCAGGAACAACTCAACCAAAAGGTTCAGATAATATCTCGCCTCTCTCTCTCTCTCTCTAATACCAGCGTACCTAGAAGCTTAGTGTGCAGACATGTTGGAGAAATCTGTAACTGATAACAACTCTTTTTTATGCAGACATTTGTATGTGAAGCGTTACAAGAAGAGGTTGCAAACCTAAAGCAGCAGCTCTCTGACGCCCTGGAGTTGGGAGATATGAGATCATTCACAAGTCAAATGCAACAATCTTCTGAGACCCAAAACAAGGTCATACAAGCACAGGTGACAGTCCAATATTATTGTCATATACTTTCAACGATTTTTCCTCTTCCTTTTATAGTTGATCTTGGAAAATCTAAGCATTTTTATCTGACTGAGACATGACCAGGCATTTGAAATTGAGGAGCTTAAACTGAAAGCTGCAGAACTAAGTGAGTTGAAGGAAGAACTAGAACTCAGAAACCAGAAACTTGCGGAAGAGAGTTCATATGCGAAAGAGCTTGCTTCAGCTGCTGCAACTGAGCTCAAGGCATTGTCTGAGGAAGTAGCAAGACTTATGAATCGCAACGAGAGGCTAGCAGCTGATCTGGCAGCAGTGAATAAGAGCTCAGTTACACCACGAGGAGGCAAGACAGGAAACACCCCGAGGAATGGAAGGAGAGAGAGTCTTCTTGTAAAGCGGAAAGAGCAGGACAGCTCGCTGATGGAACTAAAGAGAGAGCTTAGCATGATGAAAGAACGTGAGGTTTCATTTGAAGCTGCTCTCGGTGAGAAAGTTGAAAGAGAAGCAGAGCTACAAAGAACAATAGAAGAGTCGAAAGAAAGAGAAGCGTATCTGGAGGATCAACTTGCTAATATGTGGGTTCTTGTTGCCAAGTTGAGGAGATCACAAGGAGATAATTCAGATATATCAGTGTCAGAGACACGACAAACCGATCATTTTGGGACTTGAGAGTATGATTCGACTTTGTAATAAATCGATTTAAGACTCCTGATCTTTAGTTTGTGCATTGATTTTCAGTTCTCATTTCTTGCTGCCGCTTGGCTGTGTTTTCTTTGTTGACAGTATTGTAAAGGAAGTATCCTAAAGGCAAATGAAAGACTCTTGTGCAAATTTTCGTCTTCCTATGAACATTTTAGTGTTATATAATCAGTATACAACCCAAGTGTAACACCCCGGCCCTCGCTGCCGATAGCACATCTACTCACTACCTGATGGTTGGTGTGTTAATTTTCAGAAGTAAAAAGTATTTATTTATTGATCTTACATTCATCATATGAATTTCCCTGTGTTTTGGTCTAATTCGCGTGATATGGCATTCACTTTTCGATAAATCAATCCTCATTTTTCCAATATTCCAACTCTAACATGTTTACTATGATTTTTTTTTAGTACATGACTGAAAGATAATATATACTTTATTGATATATGTAGCTAAAATCAAATATCTTTCACCATATACCAGAAAATTAGAATAGACCAAGTTTCAATATATGAATAGACATGGGGGCATGTTCATCACTCAAATAGCTTATGTACAAGATTTCCAAGACATGCCAACCTCAGTGAAGAGCAGACTATGTACAAGCAATCCGAATCAAAACCAGACTGGATAGGAAAAGTTAAACCTTGAAACTTTGTATGGGTTTCTCTTCAAACTCATTATGTTTCAACTAAAACGAACACTAAATCAGTAGTATCCAGCTACTCGATTCTCCAAACGACATGGAGAGTTTTGTCCTTTATCATCTACGAGGAAAGACATAAGATTTTACATGTGTACACAGAATCTAGTAAGCATTTAGTTTATGTTACACCCAAAAGTAGACGTACGTGGAAAATGGTGAGCCAAATAACATATGTGATACATCCTTTTCTTCGTCTATATTTAGGTCATATAATTTCGTTATCATTTGCCTTTTTCTATTCACATTTGATACTTTAGGTTAAGATTTTAATATGTGGGACACATGAAATTTCCTTCATTTATGATGAAACGTTTCCTTTGTACTTTGTACAACCCAAGTTAGATTGAAATTAAAATAGATATAGGACGATATGTACCCACCACGGTCTTTTCTCACATCACACATCAATAATTGTGTTGTACATCAACTAGGATCCGATGTTTACTTTCCTTGATTAATCGTAGAGTCAGAAAATACATTATTCTAGTTAAAACTTCTCAGTTCATGCCTAACTAAAGAATTGGAGACACCTCCTTTATAGTGTTTTGTTGTATTGTGATATATTATTCCACTAGGTGTTTTGCCGGCACATGCGGGCTTAATTATCCTTAAACTATTTAAAAATCATCAAAATAAAAGATATTTGAATCCAAAAAATTTAACATAAAACATTATTATTTTTTACATGATAAATTTATTCACAAATTAAAAAATATACTTCTTCCTTTTAAACTTTAAAAAAATCTGAAGTCTATTTCCTTTCTTCTTAATTAATAAAAATATAGAAATTTATCTTTCAATTTGAAAAATTGAATCGATAAATATACATTCAAAATTGATCTTACAAAAAGAATAATATTAGTTTAGATAATAATACAATTAATCTTTATTTTTGCCAAACACTTTTTTTTTGTTTTGAATGATTTTTTATTTTATTATGATAAACATGTTTAAGGATTACTTATATATAAAAATGTAAAAATAAATTTAATTTAACGTGTGAGTCCAGAGGCGAAAATAACTTCACAAGTATATATATCATTATATTATATTATTATATTTTTAATTTGAAAATAATTACGTATTATAATTTTTTAAATTTTTTTATTTTCAATTAAATACAGTTAAAGTTTTTACTTTATTAATATTTATTTATGTGTTTTATGTTTTTGAAATTTATTCATTAAATATATTTTCCGGATAACAACACAATATATATAGGAATTATCTTTTTATTTTTAAATATATATTTAGATTATAAATAATTATTATCATTATTATTAATTTAAATCATTTATCTAATCAAATAAATATTAATTTGGTTTTTATTATTGGTTGATTTATATATTTATTCATTAAGAGTGATATCGATATTAACCACTCTAACTTTTAACGTGAGAGCTCCGTTGCGAAAAATCACTTCGCAAATAATAGTATAGAATCGATAAATATACATTCAAAATTGATCTTACAAAAAGAATAATATTAGTTTAGATAATCATACAATTAATATTTATTTTTGCCAAACACTTTTTTTTGTTTTGAATGATTTTTTATTTTATTATGATAAACATGTTTAAGGATTACTTATATATAAAAATATAAAAATAAATTTAATTTAACGTGTGAGTCCAGAGGCGAAAATAACTTCACAAATATATATATCATTATATTATATTATTATATTTTTAATTTGAAAATAATTACGTATTATAATTTTTTAAATTTTTTTTATTTTCAGTTTTGTACAGTTAAAGTTTTTACTTAATTAATATTTATTTATGTGTTTTATGTTTTTGAAATTTATTCATTAAATATATTTTCCGGATAACAACACAATATATATAGGAATTATC